ACGTGTTCATCTTCACAACGCAGACACACATCTCGACGGAACTGTTCAGCATTGATATCTGCTAACTTTATTTTCGTATTTAAAATCGTAAATAAATTTAGTTTGTAAGAAATTCAAGATTTAATGTCGAATTAAAAAAAAAACACATCCATTGTGACATTTTTGCGAACGCTAGAATTCAAATTAATTGAAACCTACGCGTATCCTATAAGTGAAGACATGTTCCTGGCTGAGCTAGAAAAATCTACCTATAAAATCAGAACAAAACGTTAATATCAGGACAGTTTGTGCACAATTTCCATTCAGTAAGTATTGATTGAAGTAATCCCACAAATGACTTGAAACAAAGAATTGCGGTTTCAATATCTGGACACAGCAGGGGGAACAAAAACTTGGAGTGTTAAGTTACTAAAGGGAAATAACTGAAACTGAGATATCCAAGAAAATCATGCCACGAGGAATTAGAACAATCTACCCACCAAGTGCTCAGTTCAAAAATATTTTACCATAACATTCTTCTCATTTTAGATACATAGATGATTCTCTGTTAATATATCCACAAAACGTTGACAACAAACTTATAACGTCGAACCCACAATAGACTTTACCTTTGAATTTGAGTCTAACAACACTTTACTCTTCCAAGATATCGTGCTACATAGAACTATTAACGACTTTCAGTTGGAGGTTTACAAAAAATCTACAAACAAGAATGACCTTATCAATTTTTATTCTCACCACTGTACCAGGATAAAATCTGGAATAATTTTAGCATTCTGTTTAAGATCATTAAGAATTTTCAGCTCCCGATACATACCTAAAGAAGATATATACATAAGAAAACACTTTCAAAAACATCCAATATACACATTATTTCATCCAGTGCTGGGAGAAGGGCATACAAAATATACGACCGCAAAAAAGATCATGACATTATTGACAACAATAAACAAGATCAAAACAGATACATAACACTACCTACTAACTCCATAGCATCCACTCTCTAAAACAAGTTATCCAGTCTTAACGATATTAAAATAATTACAACCTAATTACAACACCATCCAAAACTATTATGGAGATAATCAGAACAAAAATATCTATAACAATAATAGTTCTGAATCAGGTATATAAAAAATAATCTGTCACAACTGCCCCTCACAATACATTGAGGAAACTTGCAGAAACTTAAAAAAAAAAATATCTATGAACGTAAACGTGATCTTATACAAAACAAGTTATCAAATGCATCAACCACAACTTTGATCTAAAGAATACCACAGAAATATCTTACTTATACGGAAAATCCTCGAGATTCCGCTAGTGAATCTTATCAAAATATAAATCTGTGTCTCGGATCTTTTCAAATATCTCGATTCCTGAAAGAATTAATCTTTTCCAAAGACAATATACATGATTCTCAAAATGTTAAAAAAATTGAAAGAAAACGGTTAAATTCACAACCTCCTTTCATTTAAAATATATAATATATAAATTAATCCCAAACTAAAAGAATTTATATATTCATTGCATAAAAATTAAAATTCAGCAACATCATTTGCTCACTTTCGTTTAGTAGACATTAAATTACGTCACTTAGCATCTTCCATAGTTTACCTAGACTTCAGTTAAACTGATGAATATTTATGAGCGCCTCTTAAATTTAAAGATTTAAAAAAAAAATGTTTTATTTACAAATACTTGTTGCATAATAAAATTCTTACACTTACATTGATAAAGTTCATCAGAGGACGAAAAGCGTCGGCTAAGATAAGTTTTCCTCTTCTTCATTCATATATATATATATATATATATATATATATATATATATATATATATATATATGGGTTTCAGCACACACACACACACACACGCAATCTTACGCTACAAAGATAAACTGAAAAGGCAAATTGAAACTGCTCAACTTTGATCTGAAAACCTGGGAAGCTCAAGCAACAAACCGAAAGACATTGTTTCATTAAGATTTTCTCCACAATAGTCCCTGCTAGCATACATTAGTGTAAAATGAAAGGCACCATCCAATGCTGACCCTCATTTATCGTTCACGATAGGAGAGTCCACCATATATATATATCTATATATATATAGAATCAATCAGAAGTATTAATGCGATTATTGGCGACATCCATCGCCAGAAACATAATATATGCATTAAAATACTGTTAATCCATAGAGTGAAGTGATTCTCGTCGATAAACTTGATGTCTGTAGTTTAACATCAAATAACCCGAAAACTACAGACATCAGACGAGGATCACTTCACTCTGATTAAACGTATTTTAATGCATATATTATGGTTCTCGATGGATTTAATACATTAAATTGATTATTCTATGTGTATTATTTTTTTATGTAAATTATATATATATATATATATATATATATATATATATATATATATATATATATATTAGTTCATTTATTTTTAGCGATTTGGACGTTATCTTTATTATGATTTCATTGTCAGGTGACTAACGGACGCGATTAATCATTGGCTAAATCTATCATCGTTCAATTTAATTCCGTCGATCCAACATTTAAGAAGACTTTTTATTTTCGTATAAAAGGTATGGAAACCTATTCTGATGTCTTCGCTTTGCCCAACTTCTGTATGAATTAGAAAAGTGATAAGATTTAGTTCATGTGCATACGAGGTGGAGAGGACAAGAGATCCCTGTTTATTCTGTTATTTAGCCCATTGCTAGAAGGAGAAGAGATTGATCCCTGTTCAAGGATTTTAGAGCAAAAGTGGACGGAATTGACCAAGCCGGAATTTCAGCTTGAATCACTGAATCCAATTTCCTAGCGGATAACCATCACACTACCCGCATTATCAATTATTTTTAGTAGTGGACTCTCTTGTCGTATTCGACGTATGAGAGTCAAGTAGTTCATTTCCTAGGAACCGACAGCCAGACAACCTGCACATATGATTTCATTATAGTGGTGGAGGATATATGCTGCACCAACCACACTTTTTGAAGGGCCGAATAGAGAAACCTGGTGTACTACTGACCACAAAGACCCCAAACGACCCTCTGCAGATTTTGAATTCAGAGTTGTCCTTCTCCTAGACCAGTTGCCGTCCAAGGCTATAGAACCCAGTCTGCCCTGCTATTCACCCATAATTAGAGAGAGAAGAGGATTCATACCTTTCCCAAGGCTAATAGTACGTAAGTGATTGTAATGAATTCAACAGGAATTCCAACTCGACTCTCCGATTCCTCAATCCCAGCTGCTATCTATTACTCCACCGTGTCTCCTATATATATATATATATATATATATATATATATATATATATAAGAAAAAAATATACAGAAAAAACAAACAAAAATCTTAATATGCAATTATGCTGTATTAATGTTAATATAAAAGTCAACGTCGGACGTTTCGGTCTATTTTAGACCATCTTCAGGACATTTTATTTAAACATATTTAACATTAGGACATATAAAATTCAACACGAAAAGATGGTCTAAAATAGACCGAAAAAATCCGACGTTGACTTTATATTAACATTAATACAGTATAATTTCTTTTTTTTTCTGTATATTTTTCTTCATACTGTCGGATCTATATCCATATATATTTATATATATATATATATATATATATATATATATATAGTTGTTGATATTTATTTATTTTTAATTTCCTATATATATATATATATATATATATATATATATATATATATATATATATATAAATGGGTCTTGAGAAAGATAAAACCATAAAAGAGAAACAAGATATTGTAAAGTTTATGAGGGTTGGGAACACGATACTGAAAATGCAAAAAAATTGCAAAGAGAATATGGAACAATCAACAGTGGCAGTTTGTAGCTATACTATATATATATATATATATATATATATATGTGTGTGTGTGTGTGTGTGTGTGTGTATAGGGTGTCCATAAAGTTCGTGTGCACTTTAAAAAATTTATAACTATATTTGTATTTGCGAGAGAAATAATTTGTAAAAAGGATTAGAAAGAAGTAAATCTATATTTTTTAAGGTTTTATTGAAATTTTATTTAAGTTTCCACATCTCCTCCATCATTAGCAATACAAACGGTAATACGATTTTGCAGTTCACGGAAAACATTTGCCAACTGATTTACAGTAATGCCTGAAATCACATTAGATATTTTAACTATACTTAAAACTAGGTACATTAACCTTTATAACATTTTTTACAGATTATTTCTATCGCAGATACAAATAAAGTTATAATTTTTTAAAGTGCACACGAACTCTATGGACACCCTGTATATGCTCGAGCGTCGTGTCTTTTTTTTTTTGTTTTTTTTTTTTTGAAGGGCCGAATACAGAGACCTGGTGCACCAAGTGCAACAAGGTCCCCAAATGACCCTCTGCAGGTTTTGAATTCAAAGTTGTCCTTCTCCTAGACCAGTTGCCATCCAAGACTATAGAACCCAGTCTGTCCTGCTATACAGCCATAGCTGGAGGGAAAGAAGAGGATTAATACCTTTCCCAATGATGTTAGCACGTAAGTGAATGTAATGGATTCGACTGGAATTCCTACTCGAATGTGAATATTATGACGAAAGTATTGACTTGCATAATATAATCGGGCAGAAAGATTGACAAGCAGATAAGAAACTGATTAAGATAGAATTTCTTTATTTTTTTGTTCAAGGCTAGGGTTACCTGTTATCTTAGACTTCTATACACACAAAAAATCTCCAAACGTAACCCTCTACCTCGAGTGGCCCTCAAGTCTTGTAAAGGGTGAACCTCCTTGTAAAAAAAATGTACGCCATGTCTTTTACACTCTCTTGGAATTCATGATAAATTAAGCACAATGCAATCATTTCTTACTTCGAAAATCCAAAAAGGGTTAACGCGTACATGACAAGACGCAAACATTCAAGAACACACACGCACACACTGGCACACACACTGGCACACGCATACGTACGTTCGTACACACGTGTGCACGAAGATTGCAGCTTAGTGCGTGCTTAAACAACGAGCTTTTGTGGATGGCGACAACTTCTGTTCTGAAAAGCTGACATTGACAATGAATACCACCATTTCTATGTCTGGGATGAACATGCCTGCAACGCTTACAGCTGGGCCGGGCAGGGCTACTCGAAAAAAGAAAATGGTTGACGATGATGACGGGCAAGCTGCAGGTGAACAGATGAGGGAAAGACAGAGACTATATAAAGTGATGGTTAATGAGCAGGAACGAAGCGTGGAATCATGTAAGACGAACGACTTTTGATTCGTTTATTTTGTGCGTAAACGTTGTGTTTGCCTTTGTTCTTGTTCGGTGTGTCTGGATGTGCGCATATGTGTGAGTTCGTGTACGTGTGCGTGTGTGTGTACGTGCGCGCATGCGCATGAATGAGATTTTCAGTGAAGTCATGTTTTATTCAGTGATAAATGTCGAAGGGAAAAGCTAATACGAAAGAGATACTCAGGCAGAGAAGGAAAATGAAGGAATAGGAGAGCTAACTTTGAACTGGCTGAGATAGATAGATAGATAGATAGAGATAGATAGATAGATAGATAGATAGATAGATAAAGAACTGACTGGGATAGATAGATAGATAGATAGATAGATAGATAGATAGATAGATAGATAAAGAACAGACTAAGATAGATAGATAGATAGATAGATAGATAGATAGATGAGATGAATAGATAGATGATAGATAACTGACTGGGATAGATAGATGAACAAATAGATAGATAAAGAACAGACTAAGATAGGGATGAGATAGATAGATGATAGATAAAGAACTGACTGGGATAGATAGATAGACAAATAGATAGATAAAGAACAGACTAAGATAGATAGATAGATAGATAGATAGATAGATAGATAGATAGATAGATAGATAGATAGATAGATAACTGACTGGGATAGATAGATAGACAAATAGATAGATAAAGAACAGACTAAGATAGATAGATAGATAGATAGATAGATAGATAGATAGATAGATAGATAAAGAAAGAAAGAAAGATGAACCAGAATGAGATACACAGGTAGATTTGAACATGGATAGAAACAGAAAAATATATACACAGAATGAGACAGATAAGTAGATATGAATAGAATGAATTAGATAAATCGATAGATAGATAGATAGATAGATAGATAGATAGATAGATAGATAGATAGATAGATATGAACTGAATGAGATAGTTGCTTTAGATCGGGAAGAGAGAGAGAGAGAAAAAGAGAGAGAAAGAGAGAGAGAGTGAAGAAAGAATAAGAAAAAAACGATTGTGATCTGCTTATGTAAATGAGATTGAGTTAAGATGAGAGTTAAAAAGAGAAAAAGGAAAGAAAATCAACCTGACATGGGAGACAAAGAAGCGTGCAAAAATAGGTGCGTGGATGTCCGCACGTGTGTTTTTCTGCATGTCTGTGCTATAAATGGTAGGAATTTTTCTTGTATAAAGACATCTCAATTTTTATTAATACAACGTATATAAATATCTTATATAAAGAAAGCGATAATGTTGTTAAAAGACTCCGTATATATATATATATATATATATATATATATATATATATATATATATATATATATATATATATATATGTGTGTGTGTGTGTGTGTGTGTGTGTGTGTGTGTATTTATGTATATAGGGTGATGGAAACTGCAATATTTCTTGCGGGTGTGGAGTTTTGAAACAATACACATTGATTGACCATTGTTTTAATAATAATAATAATAATAATAATAATAATAATAATAATAATAATAGTTTTTACATAGTGTTTTATTATTATTATTATTATTGTATTATTAATATTATTATTATAACAACAACAACATTACTGCAAAATAGTATACGTATAATTTTTACTTTGCCTCATACAAGGTCTCATGTAATGATCCATTCATCGCATTGTACTAAACAGGAACCAATAATAATAATAATAATAATAATAATAATAATAATAAGAAGAAGAAGAAGAAGAAGAAGAAGAAGAAGAAGAAGTAGAAGTAGAAGTAGAATATGTTGAAATTACGAGAATGGCGTTTTTGAAGCTCCTGAAAATTTAACTTTTTTTTCTTTAAAAACGTAAATATGAAATTTTGTTATTTTTACTATTTTAGCATAAATATGACTTCTTCTTCTTCTTCTTCTTCTTCTTCTTATTATTATTATTATTTACATAATTCATTTGTTTCTCTTTTAATTATTCTGATTGATTAATCAACTAGTTATTTTTTATCTGTATTATTCATATATTCCTTAGAAAGACAACGATATTAGTTGTGTCTCGAAAGAAAAGTTTTTTCTTCGTAAAACTACGATATTTTTTCTTAGAAAATATTCGTTAGATAATAGTTGTAAATAACGCTAAGTATTTTCGACGAGTTCAATGAATAAATAACTGAATATCCAGATGGTCGAACAAATGAATGAACGAAGGAATAAAGTTTGTATATAATTTATGCAAACAAATAAGTTATCAATAATCTTGTTTTTTTTTAAATATATTCAGATAAATTATATCACTGATTTCTTTAATCAATAAGTAAAATATATTTATTTTTCCAATTTGCAGAGATGTTTCACTTAATGTTATTTTCTTAAAAAATAGCAAACATTATTATTTTTCTTTTTTTTTAATTTCACATCAGAGATACGCCATTCTTTCGTATAAATTCTCAAATTTATTAACCGAAAGTTAACTTTTTCTTTTTCCATTAAATTTCTTGGACAATTAATTTCGTTAAAAGAACTAATGATAGTAACAACAATAATATTTTTTAATTGATTAATATCTAATCTTATTAACAAGATCAGTAGCAACAACAGTTAAATAACCGCCACTTTTTTTCCATAATTATAAATATATAATGTATTATTTGAACATAATACTTTAGTATAATAATGTTTTGTTTCGTTGAATAGTGTAGAGAACTGTGTGGGTTTGAGTGTTGTTGAATTAGGGTCACGTGCTGTTTATTCCTGTTAGAAGGTCCAACTACAAGAAAATGGCGGACTCAAGTTGAATCCAAGCGAAGATGTAAAGAAGACAAACAAGACCGAAATATATGTCAACAAATATACAATTGACAAAGACATCAACATTTGTGCTTGTGTGTGAACGTAAAGATTTTGTATGTTGGTGAAAGTTCGTATGTACGTGTATGTGCGTTTCATGGCGTTTTCCCACAAGTGGACGAAAACGCTGTTCTCCGTGAGAGATTACATTTTTAAGTGTGTCCGCAGAAATGCAAAGTAGAAAAGAGAACGAGGCAAGAAGTCGCCCAGTATTTATAGTGTAAGGAGCGCGACCCCTAGTGAACAATTAGGGAATTAAGGAGGAGCTAACTCCAACAATAGCCTCTTTTCCAACGTCATTTTGCAACATATTTATTTTTGAATTCCAATGGCAACCCATCTAGGGGAAGGAAAACTCCAAACAACAACTCAAGCAACTCAAGATGTTAATCGCGCCGAGGAGAGAGTGGCTGCTGCGTTAAGAGGTCGCGAACGATCCCCCTACAGGCTTCGGAACCCTGTCTGTAAAAGATCGTTACCCAATGTACCGGGCAAATTTGTGTGGAATTTTGGACTCGTGGGAACAATATGGGAACTAAAATTCAAATCAAAACGCCCAGTATGGCTCTTCCCGTGCATAAACAGGGAGCCTGTCCCTCGTAGCGAAACCTACCTGAGATCGAAAAATCTACCGTAGGAACAAACTTCTACACAAAAAAAAAATTTCAGGTCCCCACAACCGGGATAATCCCAATGATTACCCTGTGAATTTTCCAACTAGATCCATAACCATTCATTTAAAGAAAGAAAAGGTAAAAGTTTCTTGTGAGGATTATCGATTCGTTATGACTACATTTTATGAAGTGTTGCATAAACCCAAGAAAAACATCACTCGCCAGATATATGAAATTTGGCGAGAAAATATAAGACAATAAATTAGAAAGCACATTGATGAAAATAAACTAGACAATGTTAAGAAGTTACATCATGAGAAATAACCGATTGACAAATGCTGAAATTAAAAAAAATCAAAAGAACTGTAACCAGAATTGGTGAATGAACAGAACATGAAAGGGAACCAGAAATGGACATAAAAATATACTAACAACACACGCACCACAGATGATGATGATGAAGAAACTGAGATATACACCAATCACTGTGAAGATGATGTTGAAAGTTTAAAAAAGAGTTGGAAAAGGCGGGATCTTAGCCGCTCACGAGTTTGCAATAAAACGAATTCAAAATAAACAGAACAGAATTATTTTACGGAAAACAAGAAACGTATACAAGAAGCCAAGGAAGAAATCATGAGACATATAAATCAGACACAAAATATTGAAATGGAGGAACGAGAACAACTCTCAAAATTAAAACCAACAAAGAAAACCAACTCAGAACTATTAAACTCTTGAATGCAGCACTCAAATTAATTCTGGATGACGTAGACCCGCATATAAGCCTCAAAGAAGCAATATATGCATCAGCAATATATGGATCAGCAATATATGGATCAGTAATATATGGATCAGCAATAGCAGCAAATAAAAACTTAAACATCAAAGTAAAAAACGCTGTCTTATAGACATGAAGATTTACTTTGGAAAAACAAAAATAGAGAAAGACATTGAAGAACTTAGAAGTGAATTATCAGTACTCGATGAACTGACAAGAGGAACAAATGTAAGAACTAAAAAAGGGCAGAAGAGTCAAAAGAAAATACAAAACAAGGAATGAAAATGAAATCCTATCAGCTAAAGAAAAAATACAACTGAAAGCTGAAAGAATCAGACGCTATGAAAAAAGATCAAGATTCTACAGACAGAACAAAATCTTTCAAATCGATGCGAAGAAATTTTACAGAGAAATAGGCTAACAAAAAATTGAAATGACAGCTCCCCACAAAAAAAAGAAAAGAAAAAATATGGGCTTGCCTCAAGGAACATAACAAAGAAGCAGATTGAATTACGCAACAGGTAGAAAATTTTCCTGTTGGCAGAGGTTGTAAATTTAGTTGTGGTTGTTGCATGGTTTTGATTTAAAAAAAAAAAAAATTAGGAAAATTTATTATGACATTTCCGGATCCCCAAAAAACTTTTAAACCAGAAATCCGAAACTCTTGCTTACATATCAGAAAATTTTTCTTAAGTGCATATGAGGCTGGATAAAAAAAATTATATTTTACCCTCCGACCGATGCATTTACAATACACTTGCTTTCTTCTTCTTCTTCTTCTTCTTCTTCTTCTTCTTCTTCTTCTTCTTCTTCTTCTTCTTCTTCTTCTTCTTCTTTTTCAATTCCACCCAACGTCGTGCCTTTATTTATTTACTTTTGAAAATAATAATGTATCGTCCTTTATTTAAAAAAAAATGACAAAAAAAAAGGTTAGGTGGTCATTTTGAAAAAAAAATCGCCTGAGGATACTGTAAGGTTGAAATCAAGGTAGCGGATGCAACTGACCGCCTGTTTTTTTTTATATATATATATATATATATATATATATATATATATATATATATATATATATATATATATATATATATATATATATATATATATATATATATGCTGATTTGGTCGAAGACTAACGAAGGTTCTTCGTATCTAATGTTATCATATAAATTATTCTACATTTCGGACCATTTTTTTGCTTTGCGGCGGGAATTTAAACACAATTCTATCCTATCGATCTACAAAAATGATATAGATGATGCATTATAAAAAAGTTAAAAGCATTTAAAAATTTGAGACAATTTCTTTTCTTTTATTTTATTTTTATTTATTTTTTTGAGGGGGAACAAATTTATTCAAATCCGCTCGTGAAACCAAAAAAAAAAATTGGTTGGAACTGAAAGAAAATTAAATATTAAAACTAGATATTGAGTTGGAACAAAATTTCGCAGCGTCTTCAAATAGGTGCCGTTTGAGCTCATGATTTCGTTTCATACGTGACTGATGTATATCCCAAATATACGTATACTGAAAGGTGACAATTCAGCACGTCTTTCTATACGATTTGTTTTTCCATTGTGAATTTTAAATGTTTTTACGTTAAAAATGAAAATGAAGGAAAATGAAATGCATTTTGATGCAATTTTATTTCGGGATATGAAAAAAAATGCAAAAAGGATATGTGCCCTTTATGTACATGGTGCCATAGCTTAGAGATCTATTTCTAAGTGATTCACTACGTTCAAAAGTATTTTTTTTCCCTTTATCTAGAAGAGCAAGAACGTTCTGGCAGACAGGATAGTCGTGAAAAACAAG